ACAACGGGCCATATTCAGTGTTTCAGCGCTGTCTGTGTCTACCGCCTTCTACTCTGTCCTTGTCCTTGCGCTGTTTGTTTTCCGCTAATATAAAAAAAAAAAGTTAGCCTTCATGTAATGTGAAAAAAGCTACAGCTGAAACGTTATGGGATAAAATATACGGTTTGAAATTGTCTTAAAGGTACGTTTAAGCGCCAATTTTATGCTATACTTAGCCTCTAAATCATTACACGCCGTTTTGTATAGATACATTTCTTGTGGCGAAGACATGTCGGTATATGAAACTACTCTACAGAATTTCTGAGTGCTACAACTATGGATATCATCATAATAGACCGATCTCATTAGCCAGTTTGACTACACCGCCGCTGCCACATAGCATCGAGGAAACTTTAGTTCTTATGCACGTGCGACAACCTCGCTGGAGCTCTGCGCGTGTAGAGCATGAGACGGCACGAGCTTTCGCATGCAAGGCCGTCTGCCTCCTGTGAGCTAAAGTCATTGTGGCGTCACGCATGCGCCGAACGCTTAGTGAGATCGGTCTATTTTGAGCATTAGCGAAACCGTGAAATATGTCTTCTAGTGTAAAAAATACTTCTAGTGTATCAGCATGCTGAAATCATTGTATTTATAAATAGGTATTTTTATCTTTCCGAATAACTTAAGGGATCTGTTTTCCTCACGAGTGTATACCCACGACTCGAAATGTACGTGTTCCCCTCCCCCCCCCCCTTCCTCCCTGCCCTCCCCCCCCCTCCCTCCCCGCGTTCCGGACCACATGCCAAACTTTCAGGACTTACCGTTATGTCGTTCAAATGCTTTGTGTGAATTCAGAAACTTTCAATGGAAAAATTGGGCCCCTTTCTTCTCAGTTTTCATCATTCAGCACCATGTATTCGTCGGGTTTGTCTGCCGTCATTTTACCATTGAAAAGAGCCAGAAATCACTTATAACATTTGAATGAGATAATGATTCATTTTGAAACTATGGCGTCTGGTTCAAACCGCTATCGCCAGATTTGGGAAAAAACGGAGTACTGTAAACGACTTAATTTTTGCGAGAACCTAATTTCCGCGCATTTCGCAAATCGCCTATAATTCGCGAAAAATAGGTCCCGCGAACAATTCAGGTAAAATGTAAGCACATTGGAATCTATATGAAGATCTCACCGCGTCGCGAAAATTAGAACCCGCGAATCATCTCAAAACTTAAGTTTTGACTCACATCGCGAAATATTGAGCCCGCGATCAAGAAGCCATTTACAGCGTTTGACGATGCCTAGTTTATTTTTTAAATTAAAAATCATTTAGGGATGTGCAAATCTTCGAGTTTGGAATTCAGATAAAATAATAATTGACGAAATAATTGCATTCGAACTTCGGACTGCTAGTATTCGAACAAAAAATTTAATTAATCCAATATTAGAACTGCTGGCGAAAATTCAGGTGTATTCAAGAACGCTGTTCATATGAAGAAATAGTCGTCACAGGCCTGTGTTGGATATAGATAAGCCTGCATTCAGCAGCTTTTAGTAACGAACCATTTCGACAAAAAAAGTGAACAATAGCTTGTGTTTTTAAAACGAAACAGCCTTGCCCCAAGCTTCTTGGACGCTCTAATCGAAAACCACATAAGTCGCCCTTTTAAATTTATTTATTTAAGTACTTCAAAAGCATTTTCAACAATTGCATTACATGAGGAGAGAAGGACAAACATTTCTAAAAAAAAAAAATCTGAAGACGACAGTAAAATTGTGAGAGCAAAACATATAGAACAGTCTACGCACGACCGAACAAATCGAAGTAAAATAAACACACACAAATCAGTCATAAGCAAACCTAATCCCAGAGAACCACCACAATCTTGAACAGGAAACTTTCTAATACAAATCATATAATCCCCCAATGAGTAGAAATGAGAGATCGGAAACGTTCAAGGTTGCTCTTGGTGGCAATGAAATTAGGAAGATAATTCCACCAGATGACAGATTTGAGGGGAAAAATTACTATAGAAAACGTCAAAACGTCACTTGATTCAAACGGATAAGTCATATGACTTATCCGTCTGAATCAAGTGACGAATAATAATTGAACGGGCATATGCCCGTTCAATTATTATTCAGCACGCTGCGTACCTTTATCCACACGTGGATGGGTGGTCACATCCATCAGCTATGTCTTAAGTTTGTCGTTTTGGTGGGGTCATTAATATGACTTTTATTCATCTAGATTCTCTTTTATGCGACGTTCTCTTTCTTCTTTTTTGTTTCTCTTTTGTGCGGCGTTTTTGTTTAGTTTCGTGAATAACGCGAATAAAATGTTTGGTATTCGTATTCGCCTTTTTGGTCATAATTCGGTACTATTCGGTTCGAATTCGGTCCCAGTTGAAATTTTACTATTTTCATACCTCTAAATAATAAATTGGAGGGCAGTTTGTCAACGCCGCGTTTAAATGACAAGAGTGTGCAATCACTCAGTTGAAAAACGACTCCTTCCAGTTTTTTTTTCTTTTTTGTGTGCTCATTTCGTTGTTTGGATGATTTTAATATTTTTTACTTGTTTATAGATTAAAAAAAAAGTTTTGTTGGAAGTTTTATCATTCGATATTTCTCGTCATTCACACACTTCTAGGGCGTAATAAAATGCACGCCTGAATGCGTGTTGGAGCGCCGGCTGTCTTGCACGTAGCTCCCTTGCTGGCCACCGACAAGATTTATTGTTTTTTTTTAAGGGTTTCAGGAAGTCTGGAATCGCAGAGAGGTGTGCGGCGAATAAAAAATAAAATTACACTATATACCTAAAAGGCAATAACAAAATGCCATTTTGGCGAGGAACAATAAATTGGCGGATGATAAGTTTTAAACGAGCGATCATCCCAGGTTGTGGTGGTCGTCAAATCCTATTAACATTTCTTTTTCTTTGGGGGGGGGGGGGGGGTATAAACGATTGGAGAATTGTGTTAGTGGTATGTAATGGTAGGCCTACATTTAATCGAGACGAGGTGAAGGGTAAAATGTTCGTGGTAAGAAGTGCTAAACCAGAATGAAGCTAATCTAAAATCTCCTGTTAAAAAGAAAACAGAAGTTTTAAAAAATGTTTGCAAGCTTTTCTGTAGCGCGAGACAAGGCTGAGCAAAAATAGGTTAAATGGGAGTTACAAAAAGTACACAACGTCTTTTCAAAATTTGAAATAAAAACGTAAAACTGGATTGGTTCGTAGTGAGGCGACGTTCATGACTAATACGAGCATTTGTAGTCACCCAAAATGTAAGCAACGCAGGGTTTGGCGGGTCCGTAGCGTCTGATTATCGCTTCATAGTCGATAAGATCGCGGCATTGGATGATAAGAATGCCCAAGAAGGAATAAAAAAGGGAAGAGGCACGAACATTATAGTACACCCTGAGTTTTTTAAGCTGTCATTGAATATTTTATTAACACGCTAATGACGTTGAAAAAACTTTTCCACAATTTCTTAAAGGGATGTCTGCGCGTCTAATGTATGCGCTTTTGGCACTCCCGATTGCACGCGGAGGGCCAACCTGCGCTATCAAAGAGCAGCGTGCTGCAATGACGAGGGCTAAAGTACCTAAAGAGCTCGGGTCTCGCACAGGGACGACAACCATTTGATGTAGCATGCTCATTGCTCCTGCCTAATTTGCATGTTCCAACCACGCAGCGTTTTCTTGGTTCGTTTCGCATTAGACAAAATGACCACCAACAAAACGCTTCGTGGTAGAACCTTCGCCTGCACCGGAAGTGCCAAAGTCGCGGGCATTCCTTAGTGTGTATACATTTGATACGAGTATTTCGAATGTATTTCGATCCCAGATTGAGGCGGTCAGCCTGGCTATGCTGCTTAGGAAACAAACAAACAAGGAGAGACGTTGGCTAGCAATTGGCATGGCTCTAATTGTCTATCAACGTTCCGGCACTATATGTTCGAGTAGTCTGCGCGTGAGCGATCCCAGATGAGTGCACGTATGGTCGACATATTGTTTCTTTGCAATGGAGATACCAGTCTGCGCAGTTCCGAGGCAGATTAAGCTCCTTTTTTATATAACGGGTGTCCCAAATAGCGGCCAGGCTCTTTAAATCAACCGCAAAATTCGGTTTCTTACTATATCGCGCTACGATTTTGTGCAGCGTTGCCCACAGATGGTGCATTTTTTTTTTGTGCAAAATTTGCAAACAGCGAAGCCGCCTGTCTTTAAACACTACGGCGGCGTTTCGCACGGGAAACAAGATATCGTGCAAGCGGTCACGACGCCAACTTCCGCCAACGAACGAGCAGAGAGCCGGCGTCTTTAGCAGACGATCTTTTCGACTCCAAAGCGGCGCGAGCTTTTTTGATATTCGTTGCCAATGCATTATTACCTATCCTTACTAATAAAATGTTGCTGTCCTCTAGGTCGTCCTAGAAGTCGTCCTCAAGGTTGTCCTAGACGTCGTCCTTGAGGTTGTCCTGGAGGTCGTCCTAGACGTCATCCTTAAGGTCGTCCTAGAGGTCGTCCTAGAAGTCGTCTTTGAGATCGTCCTAGACGTCGTCCCTGAGGTCGTCCTAGGCGTCTTCCTCGAGGTCGTCCTAAACGTCGTCCTAGGCGTTGTCCTTGAGGTCATTCTAGACGTCGTTCCTGAGGTCGTCCTCGAAGACGTCCTTCAGGTCGTCCTACACGTCGTCCTCTAGGCGTCGTCCTTGAGGTCGTCCAAAGCTTGTAACAGTAGAAGTCGTCCTTGAAGTCGTCCAAAGATTGTAACAATAGAAGTCGTCCTTTAGGTCGCCCCACCATAGTACAGCTTCGCTGGTCTTCCTTCTTCACCAGAGTGGAGAGGCTGAAAGTTTTTATAGTTTGCGAATATAATTTATTAAAGACCACCAAAAGCGACTGAGATGCATGTTCCTGAGACAAAACTGTATGCACCAGACTAAAACAGCCAAAAACAACTTTTGTTTAGTGTAATGAATGAAACATCGTTGCTTGTTCGTTTGTTCTATTGTTTCAGGAGGCCCTTACAGCGCAATTCTTCAACAAGTGAAGCTCAGAGTCTGGAATAACAGCGAATGCGACACAAAGTTTGTGCAGCCAATAACCAAGGCCTTCCTCTGTGCCGGGCCACTGAAAGAGAAGGGCGACTCCTGCCAGGTGAAGATACTTCATTTTTTAATTCTATTACAAAACACGAAATCACGTGTCCTTCCTCAGAGAACAGTACTGTGAACGATTCCCTCCTCCGAAAATATAGTATACCTACCACAGGGTCGCGATATGGGTCAAAGAGTTGTTTACAAATAAGACTGCGTTTCGATCCCTTCACTGGCAGATCGCAACCTGTTAAGGATACTGTGCTACTACGATGCCCAATAGACCTTTTTCCAGCAAGCTTCTGCGCATTCGAACATTCCCTCTCCTGGCCTTGCTTCCCGATGTCGCCATTTTCGCAGGGCAAAGTTCCGGTCGGCCAATATATTCAGCAAGTATCTCTGAGCGTATTTCGTCTTTTTTGGCCATTCTTGTTTGATTATACGCTAGTACGGGTCATAAAAGGCAGCGAAGATCAATACAACAGCACGATCCAAATCCATTCTGAAGGGCAGAGGCAAGTTGGGCTGCCCTTCACTTGTAGTTCGAAGACAACTCCGCAGACGGCGCATGTTACTAGAAAAAGGTTCATTGAAGTGATGTAGAAGTAGCTGTTTCAATGCTACGAAGCGGATACTGGTCTTAAGTCGTCTCCGTGCAGTCTCCCTGGTGTTTTTGTGCCGTATTCTTTTATACACGTGTGCGTAGGGTTACTTCGTGGTGGCGTGAAGTGGCGCAGTAGCGAGACCATATGGCAGTCTGACTAGAGAGCAGTGCCCGCGGTGCGATGATGAGCCATGGGGCTATTATCCAACGTTGTTAAACCTGGATATTTCACGGAACTGATGCTTACCGTGCTACAATTTCCGCCGACGACGCGACACATGAGTCGGGTATCGTAATGCGAAGCTCTGAGAAGCCGTTCGAGTTGAGCATTGAAATGTTTTTTTTTGGGGGGGAGCCGCTGTACGTCGGTGCGTGCGTGACCACAATTGGCGCTCCATAAGATCCACACATGAGTTCGCGTTTATTTTTTTAAATTTATCTTTATTTACTTAGTGCTACAACAAAATAATATATACGTCATAAGTGACTATCGCGAGGCGCAGAAAACAAAATAAATAAAATAAAGTAAAAGGTGAAATATAAGGTTATTTTCATTTAGGTGTGTGAAATGAGTCTGGGGCTCTGGAATAAAAAAAACACATACAAAAAAACGTGATTCACAGTTTGTTTTGTGCTACAGTTTGTTTCGCCTTGAAGGCTGATCTACAAAATCATTTTCCGGAAGCTAGAAAAATCCTCCTCGCTAATATTTGCCTTTCCTCCTCATCTTTACTGGTATCTTGATAGCGGGGAGACTCCTTCTGTTGATGCACCTTAAGGAAGGTCAAGCCAGGAGCTTATTCAGGCTTATCCAGCTCCAAGTTGCTGCATCAAAAAGAGTCCCCCTGCCGTCAAGTTAAGAAAGGGAGAGGGGGAAATGAAGAGGGTGGCGAGAAGAAGTTTCCTACCTTGCGGAAAAACTTTTTTTAGGTCGGGCTTTTGAAGGGGACATGAGACGATATCAAGTTGGAATGTTCATGACCTTACAAAGGCGTACTGGTCCTAGTCTTGCCCAAGTCTAGTCGCACAGACCCCCCCGATTCAGAAGCTTCTTGGTCGCGATAAAATTGCGAGGATAAAAGGAGGCTAATTCTTTCTGTCTTGCCTTCGCAAAGCTTGATGACGTAATTGTAGGACCGAAACCGCCCGCCTGACGACATTTGAGCGCGGCTCATGAATCGAACATGAGAACTGCGTAAGCACTCGGCTTCGGCTCGTAATAATCAATGCCTCGGCGGACACTCGGATAGTGACTCGTGTCCAACCACTGGCGTAATAAAAATTACCCGACTCTAAAGCCGGGGTCGCGTTGCTTATGCCCGAGTCCCATGAGAGCGACAAACAGAAACAAACGGCAGCGAAAAGTCTCGAACACATGCAGTATGCTCGCGATGGTACCTTTGGCAGGTGTTTAGTCGTTCGGTGCTCGTGAAGTAAGCACGAGTGATTGCAAGCCTGCCAAAGATTCCCTCGCGTGCATGATGCTCATGTTTGAGTATTGGCAACGTGTACGATCGAAATCGTCGCTGTGGTCGGCCTTCCACGATTGGCTGAATGCTCACTATGACGTCAGCAAAGGTTTTCTCATCGACAGAAATAAGGGTAATGTAAGAACATTAATTTTCATGGCGTTGGCAGTGCTTCTTTGAGAGCGCAATGACTTCAAGCTTCCACCCTGCTCATTAAGAACACCATCGAACTTGTTATTCCCAAGGTAATGACGTCACGAGAGGGTACGATAAGAGGGCGCCAAAAGAACATGTCGCCGCTAGTAGCCTGTTTTATTCTACAAAGCCTGTCAAATCGCAAAAGGCTCTGTTATACCCTTCTTACACGGGCACAGTTAACTGCAGTTACGCTAAACCGCAATTAGCGCACAATACTTGCCGACAACATTCTGCGGCGATGCAGTCAGAGCTATGGGCGAACGTACGCTTGAGCATCTTGAGCACCCACCAAAGCAGTGCACGCGCTCTCTTCACTTCTTTTGAAATAGCTTTCCGAGGGTATAGTGCGGCATCTGTGCTGCCACGTAACCGCAGTTAAAGCTGAATTAACCGCGGTTAACTGTGCCCGTGTAACAGGGGTATTATACCCCTGTTACACGGGCACACTTAATCGCGGTTAACTCAGCTTAACTGCTGTTACCCCCTCACCACAGGTACCGCACTATACTCTCGGACAGCTATTCCATAAGAAGTGAAGAGCGCGCGTGCACTGCTTCGATGGATGATCAAAATGCTCAAGCGCACGTTCGCCCATAGCTTTGGGTGCGTAGCCGCAGAATGTTGTCGGCAAATATTGTGCGCTAACTGTGGCTTAGCGTAACTGCAGTTAAGTGTGCCCGTGTAACAGGGCTATTAGAGGCTTTTCGCTGTTTGTTTTTGTTTGTCGCTCTGGTGGGACTCGGGCATTATACCATCACACAAAAGACAGCCTACAAACATATTTGCCCCTGAGTCACCGCGAGATCCATGATTCGAATGTCGAAGGGCAATGAGTTCGAGGAGATACTTCGGCACGCGGCTTCCAAATCACAGATATTGCGGAGACTCGTATTTGGAGACTGTTTCTTGTATAATCATAATGTATGGGCAGTGTAGCCCCGGCATGACAATAGACAGTTTTAGTGGACCGTACGCTATAGCTTTGCGTACGCAAGGATATTGCGGGTCGTGAGTGCGCATGCGCAGAACGCGATAAAAGGGCTAGCGTATTGCGTACGCACGCAACGATGGGGATTTTGCGTTGCTGGCTAGCGGGCCTTGAGGAACGTTCTCGAGAGATCTCGGACCCAACGAGAGCGCCAGTTTCAAGATGGCGGTTGCCACGACTGACGCAGCAAGGGCGACGTGGTGTTTTCGAAGTTCTGTGTTACGTGAAATTGCGTGGTGCTCGGCGATTCTTTCTGCGACCTACCGCGGTCGAATCAGATCGCCGTGCAGCTGAAGGAGTGTACAGTGAAAATGTTCGCCGCTCGGAATGTGCGTCGACGCTGCGATCTGCTCAACGCTAAGCCTATTCGCACAGTTCATCGCCGACGGACGAACGACTCTAAAAGAAATCGCCGAAGTTTTTGCTATGCACTAGACATCAGGGTCATTAATTTCATTCCGCGATAACATTGATAAAAGGTGCCGTTTCCACGGGACGATTGACGGAGGCTCCGTGATCGAATTTGGCTTCGCACTCGTACTCGTAGCCTCTGTACCCCGCAGAAAAGCGCGCTTGACGAGGCAGCTGGGGCTTGGTTTAATTTGAAATAAAATGATTGGACACGTTTTCATTTTTAGTATTTCTTTCCAGGAGCATGGTTGCGCTATAAGCACGCGGAAGCCTACGGCTCTAGCAAATTTAACCAAGATCATGCGCGGTGTTCACTCGAAAACGTAACGCACAACTAAATTCGGTCCGAGCAGGTCATTTTTAGCGTACGCTATACTATTGCGTATTGCGTACGTAAGGTCGAGCAACGCTATACTGAAACTGTCCAATGCCTGGAACTCATCATGCGTTTTCTACTTTGCCGACCCCAGCGCGTGCCTATGGTTAACGTTGGCGGCACTGGATATGCAACCAGGCCACGTGACCGCTTGTTCTGGCTCCGAGTGGAGGGGTTGAACGATGCTCCTATTTCTAGAGTTTTTTTTTGCCGACTGAATTTGCTTAGAAAGAAAAACTAAGGCAAGTTTATTCTGTTATTAAAGTTAGGAAGTGATTTTGAGTAGTATTAGGCGAAAGTAGAAAAATCGTTTCATGGCCCATTTACGTCCAGACGTGACCGACGCTACGAGCTGATGGGGGCTTACTAGACACTATCCAAAGCGCGGAATCATAGTCTTGGTCATGTTTTTGTGCGTGTTCTATAATCAATGAACCAATCGTGAACAAAAAAGGCCCAGTGCCTTGCTTTTTTTGAGGCAACTTGATTGGTCCTATTAACTCATAACGTCGGCTGCGTCTTTACTTAAGCTGAAACTAAGTGTAGCTGGGCAAGGACGTTATCATATAATTGCGGCATTCAAATAGAAGAACTTCCCGTGTCGGTGACACGTATTTACACAATATAAGAATTTTAACGTCAATCGATGGGCGATTGTTTTCTTCTTACTGGTATAGCCGCAAAATGATAACAAACATTGTTTTTGTGGTTTTATTTACCTCCGAGATGAAATATCTTCCCGACTCGTAATGACGCTGAAAAATTTTCTCTCTAAATACGTTGATTGCATGGGTTCTGTTCGCATAATTTAAATGTTAGAAACTATTTTCTTGTTACCAGCCTCTGTTTTTCTATATGAATAATGCGTGCGTTTTCGAACGATAATATTAGTGATAATATTTGCAATTCACATTGGAACCAACATTGTAACGTTCTCTCTTTTAATTTTAACCGATTCTTTTCGAACTTAATAATAATAATAATGTTCTATTATTTTTTAATCACCACAAAATTCACAAATTCTAGGAGGATAAAATGGTAAAAAAAATGGCGACTAGCTCTGGAGGGCACATTAAAGTCTATATTCATAATTAAACTTTTAGTTCTAACAGTACCATGCACTATGTGAGGTAAATGACCTTATCAAGAAAATGAATGTCTCTAACAGCCCTCCTCGTTGATAGCCTTTCAAGGCTAAAGAAAGACAGCAACACATCGTAATTGAAAACCAGTCTCCGACCAGTGTGCTGGTCATAAATAATTTGCATAAAATTTTTCTGCACACGCTCAATCATTTCAACTTGTGTTAAAGATTGTGGATTCCAACTAATTGAACCAAATTCAAGTCCTGAGCGTACAAGGCTACGTAATTGACGCACTACAGAGAGTAGTGAAGTGAAAGAACTTGATAATCGAGTGATCATTCCCAACTTTCTTATCGCTGAACTAAGGATCTTAGAAACGTGCGCAGTAATTGATAGAGTACTATCAATATAGACGCCAAGGTCTTTGACCAGAGATACACGATATATCATAATTACCTCGAGCACATAAGGGTAAAAGAAAACGTCCCGCTTTCTCGATAAAGAAGTCAATGTAATTTTTTCAAGATTTAACAACAAGGCGTTTTCTCTACACCACTCGGAAATTGCACCAATATCAGTTTGCAATAAATTACAATCAGTATAGTCTTTGGCCTTTAAAAAGAGTTTTATGTCTTCAGCAAAAAGAAGGATATTCGAGTGCTTGACGGATGACACCATACCGTTTACAAACAAAGTAAACAACAGTGGTCCCAGGTTCAAACCTTGGGGTACACGAGAATTTGATGTAATACACTTCGAAAAAGGGTTGCCATCACGAACAGTATTACCGCGTAAACTCAAGTAGCTCCCGAACCATTCACTAAGTTTTGGGTACATGCCATGAAAAGACAGTTTGCCAAGGAGACAAGTATGATGTACACGGTCAAAAGCCTTCGACATGTCAAAATATACGGCATCAATTTGGCCTCTGTTTGTGACTATTGGCACACAGAAATCTAGAAAAAAACACATAGGTGTTTCAACGGGCTTTCGCTTTAAAAAAACATGCTGACAATGACTAATTTTTCGACTGAGGTAATTTGAGATGCGGTTATGCATAACCATTTTGAAAGCCTTCGCGAAACCACATAATAAAGAAGCGGGACGATAGTTACTAACTAATGACGGATGACCAGCCTTGAATATGGGCACAACTATAGAAGACTTCCACCAATCAGGGAGAGTACCCTTCATGAGAGATAAGTTTAATATATGTTCCAAAAGGGGAGAAAATATATCAGAACAAGCCTTAGTAATAAAAGTAGGTATACCGTCGATTCCCGCCGACAACTTAGGTTTTAATTTTTTTTATCGCCTCAAGAACTTCTGAGACGTCGACATTAAAATCAGATAAAAAGTATGTTGTTGATGTTGCCTGATGCACCGGCAGTTCTCAAACTAGAATAGCAGTGACTAAAGTAATCGGAGAAACCATTAGCTATGTCAATTGGCGAGGACAAATATGCAGTTGATTCACGTAAGCATAAGTTTTGTGCATTGTCGCGCATTGATAAACCAGATTTGCGTAGCTGTATAACTGTCGTTGTTAAGGACGTCGATACAAATTAAGCAATGCGGAAGTATCTTCAAACGTAATTGAATTACATTTCTAAGCATTTGTACTTTACTCAAGATAATTTACAGTGACATTAACTTGAGTAGTATTTTAAATACTTTATGAAGCAGGTATTCAGTAATTAACTTAAATACTTTTATCGAGTATTTTGGCCAACACTGGTTTCGGGTACATGTAAATGCGAGTCCTGTCAAGTTTTCCGTAAAACTTATGAAAAATAATCCCCTCGGGCCACAGCTGTGGGAGGTTAATCTCTCAAACAAAGAGTAGTCACATTCGAGATGAAAAGACACATAAATGTTAAATTTACGTTGTAGCTGCGTGACGGTTAAGGCCGGTTCTCACATGCAGCGAAGCGCTGATGTAGCACTCCTCACGTGCGGTTTGCTACTTATCGTCTGCCATGAGCAACAGTTTTGGCGGTGCAATACAAAGCTGGTAAACGCTGCCGTCAGCACGCGCTTAGCGCGAGGTGAGCGCTATGCTTGTAGCGCTCCGCTGCATGTGTGAACAGGCCTTTAGAGACCTGCCGCCAAGATGGTGCTGGACAAGATCCATTATGTCATCCGCTGTCGTTCTCGAATGTAGTCTCGAGAGAAACAAGGCATTAGGTTGACGAGGAGCAGACGTCACCTTGAGTGACCAGGCCGTTCCAAGCTTCGGAGATTTGGCTTCTTTCTCACTACCATGGCGAGGCCGTCACCCTCCATCACATCAGGCGTTTCAGGCCAAGAAGCACGTGCAGCCATATGCACATAAGCACTGTGGCTGGCACTTCCTTTCTTAAAAGCAGGTTTCAGGCCGGAGATTACACTTGCTGCTGGTGGATCGGGAACAACCGATGTAATTTTCGAGGATGCCAGTGCCGCTTAATATAAGCTGAGAGGTGGAGACACAGAGGGAAGGCAATCGAGCACCCTCCTGCTCAGCAACGTCAACTCGGAACGCAATTGTCGATTTTCAACCCTTAGGCCATTTACCTCTGTGGTGAGTGCGTCCAACTAGACAGACAAAAATCTGAACAGCCGAAAAACAACGGGGGGATAACGCTTGCCCTCAAGTTGGCCGGCTAACAGCGGTGACGGAGCTGAACCCTACCGAGTGGTTTGGTCGGCATTCATGTCACATCTTGTCGAATTTCGTCGTTGCCGGGTACAGTAAGTTAGTTTGTTATCCAGTCGATTCGAATCATGGCGGCAATAGGTAAAGGACATTGAACAGAGATTGCTGGGGAGAAAAGGTGCTTGTTTTGGGACCTGAAGGAAACAAAAAATAACAAACCGTGCAGTAAGTGTAAAAACAATTGCAAGGACACAAAAGGGACTCAACGAAATATGATTTCTATCACTTGCAGGGCGATTCCGGCGGTCCTCTCATGGTTCAAGACAAGAACACCAAGCAGTGGACGTTGATCGGCATCGTGTCCTGGGGCATCAAGTGCGGAGAACCGGGCATTCCCGGAATTTACACCCGAGTCACCGAATACCTTGATTTCATCTACGAACACGCCGTTTCCAACTGAGATCCCGACGTCCCTCCGAGGTCAACTCAGTCATCAGAGCGAACCGTGACACGTGCCATATTTATAAACGTGTGTTCAAAACGTCGCTCGGCGGCAACGGCAACGTCGTCGTCAGCCGGCAAAACTTTTTTCTGCACATCCTTTACATCCAGGTTTTTTTTTTTTTTTTACTCGACATTAAAATAACTGAAACATAACTTCGCCAAAAGACGGCGTCTGCAAGTGTGATTGATCGATGTTAGCGAAAGCGCCTTGTCCCTCCCTCTCGGATAAAAATGAAAGGTAGCCCGTTTTGTTTCTTGGCTTGTGCTTACGGTTGTTTGAACTTTCACTGGAGTGTTTGCACTTTCGGCGCGTCGTCACGCTAATATTTTGTTCCATTTCGTGGCTGTTTTCACGGCTTGGCTTGGCTCGGCTTAGCTCGGTCGCCTTCCCAAGATTACCCTTTCTCCGCCCCACAGTTGCTGAGACGATTACGACGTGGTGGCCATTGAACTCGTTCCGCGTAATCGATAATAACCAAAGGCCACTCCGAACAAACGAGCGGGGTGCAAAAAGGGCAAACATTTCTAGTGTTTGGTTAACGAACAAACCCGGGGTTCCGTTCAACGACGAGCGGGAAAGATTTCTCATGAGTGCAAATACGGAAATAAGTTCGGCTCCGAAATTGCTTTTGTGTAACGTGGCCTTCGCGCTCCGACGCCTGTCTCCTCAATGCCAAGGGGATTAACGCCCCGGTAAAATCTTCCGCTGAGTACGCTGACCCTGGAGTGGATGCGTCGCTTGTTTTCCCAAATGTTTTTGCGTGCGCGATTCTTTTTTTTTTTTTTTCTGGCGCGAGCAGCATTGCGTGAAAAAGTGAAGAAATATAAAAATGGAGAGCGGGGTATTTGAAAATTAAACTGTTCAGAAAATATAATAGGTGCACGCTACACACGGAGGAGGAGTATTCCTTGAAGGTAGCACCAGTTTATAGCACGTTCTGTGTTGACTAAGCTAATACCTGGAATACTGTACAGGGAAGAAAAAAAAACGTGAAGGATGCTTAAGCTTCGCCTTTAAGAGTGGAACGCAGCAGCGTCATCGTGCCCCGGTCACTTCGCCTTCTCATTCGCCGTGGGAGCATGCCTTGCGTGGCCTAGTCAGCTGTCTGTCTTGCTCGCAACCATAGGGTCGTGGGTTTGGATCACGCCTAAATGTATTCACATTTTTTTCTTTAGGGCAAAGGAAAAACTTTATAAAGTAAAATCATTTAAAATATGCGACGGCGTTTAATTCGTATTACATGTCATGACTTCATGACTTCCATTACCCGCGTGACGTCACGTTTCACGTGAGCGTTGTGGGTTTGAAATTTCTGCGCGAGGTCATGTGGCTGTGACGTCATGATCCTATTGGCCAAACGGGATTTTCTCGTCACGCCACCAACGCGGGCGTTTCTGCCAAACGAGCTCCATGACGCTATCGCTTTGATACACATAATATCGTAAAACGTGTAGCTGTTCTCCCCTGCAGCGATAAACCAACATCGCCTAGAATAATCAAAGCCTGAGCACTACATTTTTGAAGTCGTCACAGCGAGATCGAGCGAAGACACACATTGGATGAGAGACTCCGTCAGTGCTCGGTTGGGCCTTGTTTCCTACCAGCGCGTCGGGGGACACTCAGCGTCGGGCTCGGATCCAGTTGCCGAGTTGGCGCCATTAGAGTCACTAAATGAGCTACACTTAGAGTATCGGCACTCCGTTCCCCGACATGGTTGTGGGCGCCGCCATTTTAATTCGTATGCAGAGCAGACGATCGTCATGATTCAAAAATTCGACTTCCTCAGCATTACATTCGGAGGTAGGAAGGTCATGTAATATTGCTTTGGTCTGTCGCGAACTGTTTAAACATTTGAGGAGGGCGGAAAAGCGTTTATTGTGATTTCACATAAAGCATCAGGTAACTGGCAACCATACTTTGAAGACACAATATGGCCAAGTGCCGCTACTCTGAAGCGTAGCTTATTTAGTGGCACTAGGCGCAATCATAAACCGCGATGAGCTTCCATGGAGGAAGGGTGGCGCGTTCGGAGGTCTTTATTATTCTAGACGGTGTTGGATAAACAGTGGCCCGACACTCTGGTGCGTTTCAGTCGTTCACACACTTAGCCGGGAGTTGGATTGAGTCAATGAGACTCTGATGGTTGCTTCCACGCACGAGCAGATGCTTTTCAGTCTCACCTTGCCTGTGCTCATGATTTTTTTTTAATTCAATAAAAAGCGCCGTCCGTATTTGAACGTCAAGCGTGCAACGGCTATGAACGAAAGTAATATCAAAATATAAATGTGCCTCGATCACTTCGATAAATCAGGGGAGCATAGAGCGTGTCGTGCGAGCATTATCCGTACGTTATGATTTGTTCTGCTTGGTTAAGGGGTATTCACACGAGGGAGAAATCCCGGGGATTTTTCCGCCGTGTGAATACCCCTACGGGGAGTTTTTTTGTGGTTTTGGGTGCACGCGCTGCGCACACGGCGCAGGTTTGTGTTCTACAGGTTTTTCAGATCTATCGAGACAATCTTTCATTTATTCAGGACCGGAGTATGTCACGAGCATTCTTTAACGACAATTTTTATATAACGTCTATTTCTTTTGTGAGTGCGCGTAGGCCCTTCAATTCGTAGTGTATCTAGATCGCGAGGAACCCCGTGTGGTAACTGAACTAATCGCAATGGGACTAGTTGCACCGTGCCCTATACGCTAGGTATTAAATGTTATCTGAAATTATAACATAAAACATTCTCTGCTCAGCCCCTTGGTACGTTATGTTTCACTCCGTGATGTCGTGAGTCCACGTGGGAAGGTATACGCTTCGGTATTCGAGAGCCAGCCACACGTGCCGATGGTAGAACGGATTAAGTATGCTGGACCGAATACTACACGCCACTGACAGTCGCATGCGGACTAATTAAGTCTGGTCAAAGTATAATTCACCGTCGACAGTCGAACTAAATATGATGACCTAAGTATGAATCGTCGCCGATGCTCGGCTACTGGTTAAGTATGCTTAAAGGGAAGCTACGGAGCTTCTTGAAAAAAATGAGTTAGAAGTGGATTCTAGTGGATTTTTACCCCGTGAACCCGAATATCCAAACCATTTGCTGCGCAAGTATTGTTAAACGCGAGAAAAACGCAAAAGACAGTCGTTGTCCGTGACGTCATCGACGGATCTTTAGGCTGCCCAAGGCTAGGGAGGCGGGGCTTCAGCCCTATTTTGAAATTGCTCGTATGGCTCTCCGGCGCGTCGCATTGAAATATAATTGTGATATCTGTTATTCTAAAGGCCAAATGAACGCAATTCAAGCGTTTTTTCTCAAAAGTAGAAGTGCCCCATCTTCCCTTTAAAGATGGCCATAAAAGGAATTTTGGGATGGGATAAATTAGTTTAAATTAGGACTTTACTAATTTGATATCGTTTAATTGGCCAAAAGAAAGAGGGTAGAAAGTCAAAAGCCAGCTTTTCGGTACGAACATTTGAAGACATAGCGGACTATTTTGTACCATCTTTCCTTCGAAAGCTGTCCACCTTTTCACTACGATACATCCGCGGTTCTTAAAGCACGTCAGCGGTGCCAACCTGACGCCATTCGAGCCTAGCTCACGCATTGGACACGAGAACTGCGTCACTCGGACGTATGCGCTCATCAACAATCAATCCGTCGACGAATATTCGGATTCGCGTTCGTGGCCAATGAGTGCCCTGACGGAACTTATCGTCACTGGGGAGTGACAAGCTCTATGGTGTGCATAAAAAGCACGGTGGAAGCTAAGAGTCATCGCACCGGTGCCGAAGAATGTCACGACGACGTGATTTCACAATTCGCATTTGAATTGAGGATTAAAGCTAAGGAAGAAGAAGAAAGAAAATCGTTTCAGACCCGCTGCCGACAGTCGTCTGCAGACTAAAGCGGGTTTCACATGCAGCGATTTTGGCCCCAGAGCGGCGCGATTTCTGCCGTCGCGGCGCTCGTGCCGCAGAATTGCTGGTGCTGGCAAGAGCGCCGCGACGGCAGAAATCGCGCCGCTCTAGGGCCAAAACCGCTGCATGTGAACTAGGCTTTAAGGCCTGTTCACACATGAAGCGGAGCGCTACAAGCAGAGCACTGACCTCGCGCTAAGCGCGTGCTGACGGGAGCGTTTACCAGCTTTGTATTGCACCGTCAAAACTGTTGCTCATGGAAGACGCTAAGTAGCTGACGACACGTGAGCAGGGCTGCATCAGCGCTTCGCTGCATGTGAGAACCGGCCTTAAGTATGCTGTATTAACTATGACTGGTCTCCGACGGTCGGCTGCAGGCTAAGGATGCTGGATCAAGTATGACTCGCTGCTGGCAGTCATCTGCGGATTAATTATGCTGAACTAACCACGACTCATCGCTGGTGGTGGGCTGCAGGCAAAGTATGCTGCACTGAGTATGACTAGCCGCCGACAGGTCGCTTGCGGATAATTAACGCTGGACTAAGTATTATTCACTCCTGACAGTCGCCTGCGGACTAAATAACGGTGGACTAAGTATGCCTCGTTTCCGGCGGTCGGCTGGAGACTAAGTATGCTGGACTAAGTATTACTCACAAACGACGGTCGCCTGCATGCGGACTAAGTTTGCTGAACTAAGTTTGTCTCCCAGCCAGCTGACTGTCGCCTGTGAACTAAGTATGCTAGACTAAGTTTTATTCACCAATGACGGTCGTCTGCGGACTAAATATGCCGTACTAAGTATGACTCGTCGCAAATGGTCGGCTGCTGGCTAAGTATGACTCATCGCCGACGGTCGGTGTTTTGCGAACTATGTTGGATTGAGTAAGATTTGGCGTCGACAGTTACCTGCGAAGGATTTAACGCTGGGCTATGTATTATTTGCTGCCGACAGTTGTCTGCGGACTAAGTATGTTGAACTAAGTATGATTCGTCGCCAATGGTCGGCTGCTGGCTACATACTATGACTCGGTAGTGACGGTTGGTTGCTGGCTAACTATGCTGAATTGAGTATGGCTCGGTGCCGACAGTCACCTGCGGACTAATTAACGCTGGACTAAGTATGATTTGCTGCAGACAGTCGTCTGCGAAACAAGTATGCTGGACTAAGTATGACTTGTCGCCAATGGTTGGTAGCTGGCTAACTATGACTCCTTGGTGACGGTCAGTTGCTGG